GCTGAGCTTTTTGGTTTTCCGCGTCTCCTGACTCCATTTTCGGTCCCCCCCTCTCTCTCTTCCTCTCTCTCCCCTGCCCTCTCGCTCTCTCTGTGTTTTATAGGACTGCCTTTCACTGACAGGGACTATTTCCTCATCTGTGTTGTCGAGGCGTGCGGTTGTCGGAGGCCATGAGTAGCTGCTGGGGTGACAGTCTACAAAATCCTTTGACGTGGAACACCTAAAATGGGGACAGGACTTGCCTCCATGCAGCAGGCTCAGCTGTAATCTCCGTGAAGACGCCCTTTCCGTTCACCTCGCTCTCCACTTAGACGTGGCCCACTCGCCCCTGACCTGCAGCGCTTCCTGATTTGAAAACTGCTGCTCGCTCGCTGCCTCCCTCCCTTCAACTCCTTTCTTTTCCTCCTCTCTACCGAGGCCATCTCAAACACTCTTTATCCGAACCATGGCCAGCAGACTCCGCGTGTCCGCCCTGTTCCTCCCCCTCCTGCTCCCTGCACTGTTGCTCCTCCACCTGCCCGGCATGGTGAAGGGGGACTGCTGGCTGATAGAAGGGGATAAAGGCTACGTTTGGCTGGCTATCTGCAGTCAGAACCAGCCTCCATACGAGACCATCCCCCAGCACATCAACAGCACGGTCAGTAAGAATTTATCTACCCGAAGGCCTTTTATACCACCACAGCCACCGCTATTAAACCTTATGCCTTCATGCACTCTGAGCTAAGACATGTCAGCTACAGAGCACATGCCATTAATAGTGATAGTGGCTTTTGCAAAATTGCAAGGGAATCTAATCTTCTGTTCAGTCAGTATAATAATGCTTGTGGTTTATTGTGGGCTTCTGATGTTCGTGATCATATGTTGATTGCAGTGATTGCTATGACAGTGACTGTAATACAATATTGAATAAAGAGTTTAGGTTCTCCTCTATGGCTGCCAGAGAGAGTGCAAGGCATCACCGAAAATCACCTACTCTCTTGTCTCCCGTAGGTTCATGATCTGAGGCTGAATGAGAACAAACTGAAGGCCGTGCTCTTTACCTCCATGTACCGCTTCACAAACCTTACCGACCTCAATCTTACCAAGAACGAGATCAGCTACATCGAGGACGGGGCCTTTGCTGGACAGGCCAACCTCCAGGTCTGCAGCCCGGAATACAACTCTGTTTTCATGTATTTCTTTATCACTAATTTAAAATCATAGTAACGTCAAACAATCTCCTCAAGCCATGCTCATACATTCATATAAATGTTGTGTATTATATTGTGTTGCCTTTATAATATATATATATATATATATATATATACCATTTAGGAGTCTGTAGTAGTTGTGGCGTGCAGTATTTATTTTATTATTTATTTAAATTGAGTCTGATTGTATTTACCAGCATGCCAGTTTTTGTTACACAATGCTGTACAATAGTTTGGAGTTGAGCGACAAATATATTCTGAAATCATCCAACCAAAAACTTTTTTTTTACTACCTGTTCATAGGTGGCTTTCCAAGTTTTTACAGTTATAGAAATTTGACTGAATGATGTGTCTAGTTGTGATAAAACATATGCCATGGAGGAGCATACCTTAAGAAAACATCCACCAAATGATAACAATTAGTTGTGTTGAGTCATTTTTAATAAAAATTTCAAGGGATAAATTCTCTCTTTCTGTCTCAGGTTCTCCAGCTGGGCTACAACAAGATGACCAACCTGACTGAGGGCATGTTGAGAGGTCTGGGTCGAATACAGTGCCTCTTTTTGCAACACAACCTTATTGAGGTCATTGCCATCAATGCCTTTTGGGAGTGCCCGAGCCTCAGCAGCCTGGACCTATCTTCCAATAAGTTGGCCCGTCTGGACCCCTCTACCTTCACTGTCCTCAACAGGCTGCTGGTGTGTGAACTAGCAGGAAACCCGTTCCACTGTGGCTGTGACCTCTTCAGCTTCCTCACCTGGCTGGAGGCGTTTAACAACGTCACACACACCTACGACCGCCTCCAGTGCGAAACCCCTCTGGAAATGACTGGTTATCCACTTCTGAGCCCGGTGCCCGGACACGGAAGAAATGCCCGTTACACTCTTTTATCCATGTGTCGGGATGGTGTGATAATTCCAGGGATGACTTCTCAGACACCAGATCAAGATGGCTCAGGCATGGGCTTTGACAACCCAGACCAGGGTCTGTACCACCAACCAACCACATCGTCCACTGCTGACCCAACCTACAACCATCAGATTTCCATGAAGCTTCAAACTGTTTCCCTCTACACCGCTTCTCTAATGGTGCAGATCCCGCGACCATACAGTAAGATGTACATCCTCTCCCAGTACAACCACAGTTTTGGTGAAGACATCAAGCCCCTTAAAAAAAAGAAGGAGGTACTAATTTTGGACAAACTGAAACCGCACACAAACTACACGTATTGTGTGGCTTCTGTAAGCAAATCTCAGCACTACAACCACACCTGCCTGTCCTTTACCACACGAGCTATGGGACCAGAGGACCCAGAAGCCAATCAATCCACAACTACCCACTACATCATGACCATCTTGGGATGTCTGTTTGGCATGGTCATTGTGCTTGGAGTGGTCTATTACTGTCTCAGACGGAGACGCATCCAGGAAGAGAAGCAGAAGGCTATAAGTGTGAAGAAAACTATTTTGGAGATGAGGTACCTGACACATATTGCTGTTTGTTAAGGGAAGTCTTAGGGGCGCCATTATAATCCTTTTTCATGACAATGAATTGTTTAAGTGTCACCGCTACTTTGTTTTGTTTTCATTTGAAATCCTGAAAAGCCTAATTTATTCTAACTTCAAACAATTTTCCTCAACCACACTCTTTGTTGAGGCTTTGGGCCATGCTATTTGTTTTATATTTTCTTTGAGCTTTAATTAAAACAGCAATAATTCTGTCACCCCATGGCATCACTGAGAGGACATGTTATATTGTTCTCAGTATAAGGTTCAACAATTTTGCAACCATGCTGTTGAGCACAATGTGGAAAATGATGTACACAATATGAGATCAGATAATAAAAAGTGAGTGTATTGTTTGTGTTAAAGTTAATCTGTCGTTCTTCAGGTACGGCCCTGAGGCTGCTGCTGCTGTGGCTAATGATCCAGGCGCCATGCAGCGTCTCCAGGAGCAAGCTCACCACCAGCACCACCATTCAGGGGGAGCAGGAGGCAAGCTGCCCCCGTCTGCCGCTTCTAGCACAGGCATGCTCCACGGCTCTGCCAACACCAGTTCTTCCCGCCTCTCCACCTTGCCCCAGGTGGAAAAAATGGCCAGTGCCTTCTCTGAGGCAATGGGAGGCAAGGGCAACTACATGGATGTGAGGACGGCGGGAGTGGCAGGGGAAGGAAGGGAGGGTGGGGTGGGAGCTGTAGGAGCAGTGATAGGAGGGGAAGTAGTTGTGGATAGGCGAGGTGGTGCTGAGAATGGGACAGAGGCTAGGGAGGATTCGGATGACGATGGTCGTGGCTCAGCATCAGAGATTTCCACTATTGCCAAGGAGGTGGACAAGGTGAACCAGATCATCAACAACTGCATTGATGCCCTCAAGCTGGACGCCTCTGCTAATGTTGTAACCACGGCTGACAATGGCAACCCTGTGTCCTCCTCCCAGCCACAAACTTGCATCGCCTCCCTCCCTCGTAACCTCCTGCCCCTCTCTCCAGGCCACCCTGGAGATCAGATCATGGCCTCCTCTCCAAAGGTGCATCCAAAGTCTCACTCCCAGCCTCATCCTCAGCCACATCCTCATCCTCAGCTACATCAGCCACCTCACCCGCATTCAATGGCCCCAGTGCCCCTTGTCATGCCCCTCTCTGAGCGGCCGGGCATCAGCGGTGGGGGGTTCCTCTCCCCTCCTTACCGTGACCCACCCCCAGCCAATGCAGTGCGGCCTATTCAGAGGCAGTTGAGCACGGACACTGCTGTGGTGAAGAACCGTTGTGGTGCCCCGGCTGCGGGTTCTGTCAAGAGCAACAGGGTGTTCAGTGTAGATATCCCTGAGCAGCGCAGTGATCCTCCCAAGTACCCAAACGACAAAGGCAGCCCTGTGGGTTGTGGCGGAGGGGGTGGAAGTGGAGGAGGTGGGGGGTGCAATGGGAATGGGATGGGAAACATAAATGGCGGTGGAGTGAGTTTGAATGGGGGCGGGATGGGGTGTAATAATGGGAGTGGAGGTGCAGGTGTCGGCCCTGGACAGCAGCAGCACCACTTGGAGGTTCAGCCAGACTACCACAGCTCCGAGCACCGGCACTCCTTTCCTGCACTCTACTATGAGGGCGGCAGCGACTCACCCTCACCGGCCCAAAAGGCCTCCTTCCTCAAGCCACTGGGCCGCACCAAGAGGGACGCCACAGCCACCTACTCCCAGCTCTCACCTTCTCGCCACCACAATTACAACTCTGGCTACTCCTCCAGTCCTGAGTATTCGTCTGAGAGCACACTGCGGATCTGGGAGCGATTCCGGCCTTACAAGAAGAGCCCCAGAGAGGAAGCATCGTATATAGCGGCAGGCCACGCCCTGCGTAAGAAGGTGCAGTTTGCCAAGGACGAGGACCTTCACGATATTTTGGACTACTGGAAGGGAGTTTCTGCCCAGCAGAAGCTGTGAGCAGAGGAAGCTAAGTCGAATGCTGTAAGGGAGATTGTGAGGTTGGACTCCAACAGCAGACTAATAAAGAATACTAGATGTTAATGTAGCAAGACGGACGATGATTTGCTCTGAGGTGTCCAGTGACACGGTTCATTCCCCCGGGTGGATCCAGAGTTGAAGAGGTATTCTCTGGGTGATTTAAAAAATGAAAAAGATTCTATGATAATACATTGATATTTTAAAAGGTTGTTTCTGATGGTGGCTGTGTTCACCACAATACTGAGTGATTGAATCACGCTGTTCACCAGACTAGCTGTTACTGGGCACTTTGGTCCTCGCAGGCTACCGTAGGCCCACTGAATCCCGAGCACAGAAAAAGTGGTAACAGGCAATGTCTTCTACCTCATTACTGGTACACTGTAGCACTGCTATCTCACCAGAGGCAGCCCCATTGGCTTAACCCCCCCCCCCCCCCCCACCCCGTTTCTAATCCCATCAAACCTCCTTTCACAAAACAATCATTCCACTGCACCGCCAACACCTGCTCTCCTATAGAAGCATCATTTAGGGAGATAATGAGGGAGGGAGCAGGATGAGGAATTAGGTGCGTTTGTTTTAAAGTAGCCTGAATCTCCCTCTTTGGGGGAGGACATTAAGTGATACTTATCGGGCTAATTGTTCTTCCTGGCAATTAGCCAGTGTACGAGTCGGTCGGGGAGGATGTGTGTCAAGCATGCTTATCGATTTGAAACACCTAACTACATATGTTCACCGGTGTGTGGGCATATAGTTTGTGCATGCTGGTGTGAGTGATTGTGTGTGGGTGGGAGAATGGGGTTGAGGTTGGGGCTGAGTCGCCCATTATTCTCAGTCTCCTCTATGGTTGTAAAGTGGATAGCTTAGTGGAGATGCTTTGCATATAGATAACAGTCAGGTTGGGGAGTTGTGTGTATGTGTGTATATGAATGTTTGGCCCAACCTGCCTGTCTATCCAGATAGCGTGAAGTAAACCCCTTCAAGACCTGCAGGCATTTTGCTCTCCTAGCCCATTTCTTATTTACAGGTGTAGCAAATTTCTTTTGATAAGGGAAGCTATGAGGTAGGAAATTTACATTTCAACAGTGCGAGTCATGCTGGATGGGTTTTGCAGGTTGGCAAGACAGGTGTTAGCTCCTATATTAAAGAACCCGGTAATCACATTTTGGAGTAGCGGCAGATTGAGAGTGGGTTAGAGATTTGCTGCATCTCATTTTGAGCATGCAAGTAGTCAGGAGACAATATACGGTCCTCGTGTCCGCTCAAGGCAAGGTTGCAACAAACTCGAAATATGTCAAATGCTGTCTGCACTACACAGTGAGATACAATTGATGGTAAGCAGGGTGAAGGCCCAAGGGATATACTCTGCCTCCGACTGCATGGCTCTCCACTCAGTATGACCCTTCTTTGCTCTGGGCGGGAGTTTGCTCTGGACCAAAGTGCCCTTCAGAGGTATGATTTCACAAATTTCTATTATATTGGCTTTTCCTTTCCAAAATGGTTAATATAGACTAGTGTAGCCCTAATGAGCAAGAACATAATTGCTTTGGCATTATTTTGGTTTATTGTGTGACTTTTGGGTTTGACTTCATGGTTGTATTAATGAAATCTGTGAAAAGAAATAGGAGCAAGGCTTGGTACTATTACAAACCAAACAAGAGCTTTGATATGGGGAGTTTTCTTTTCTCACTTGCATTTATGCACAGAGTGTTCTCGTACACAAGAGGAACACATGCTTTAGATTGTCAAAAAACACAAGTACTTCTCATTTATGTAAATTATCTTCATGCACTCACTTTGCACCAACATCCATGCTGTCAAAATATAAATGTCAGCTGGCCGTCTTTGTTTCTTTTTCTGCCCACGACTCCTATCCTCGCCCCTGCCATCCTGACCTCTCTTTCTGTAATGTGATACATCTCAATTGAAATAAGGTATGAATTCAGTTTTAAAATGTCTAATTAATTCATTCCCCTCCGTGTTTTTTCCCCTGCCTGCCACCTCTGTCTAACTTAATGGGGTAAATTAATGAGTAATTTGCGGAGGTTGATGCCATAGCATCGTCTGAGGTCAGAAAAGCGTGCTGATGTTATTAACTCTGCCAGACTGGAAGCCTGATTGAAATTAATGACGGCTGCTTTTTCTTTCTCTTTGTCCGTGCCTCGCTCATTTCATTCTTAACCAGGTTCCACCTCCTTCTGTTGCCTCTATCTCTTGTAGACTGTAGTGATCCTCAGTAAAACAGACAGAGAAACTAATGCATCACCATGAGTGTGCAGGTCATGAGTAGGCGAAGGTGAGCTAGTCTGGGATCTAACCTTCCGGGCATTATTTTTTCTCTTTGGAGTCAGATCGCTCATGAAGTACCAGTCTGCCAGGCCTTGAAGTCATGTATTTCTATTTGATTTTCCGCGGGCAGAACTCTGATATTATCGTTGTGACAGAGCATGGATTCACCTGCTGTTTGAGGTGCGAGTTTGATGCGGACAGCGTGAGGTGGCATTTACTCTTTGACCTCTAAAGATCTCAGTCTACAAAACGGGACTCTATTCAGCAGGTCAGTAGATCTTTCTTTTGTGAAGTAAAATAAGACAATAATGTTCATGTGTATAAAGAGCATGCTTATTGAAATTTTGACCTAAACTGTATATTATATTTTTGGAGTAGAACGTATTTCCACCAAAAGCTGATCACAGCAAGGTCTGTTACCCCTGCTAACCAGGATATCATTCTTTAATAATAAAGTTTCATTGCTGTGAGAACACAATACCTTCACCTCCGCTGTATTAGCGTAGTGGTAGAAATCTCAGAACCTGGCCGTATAAAATGGAAACTATCTGAACGGCTAGATACCTCAAGGGGTAAAAGAGAAAATATGTTTGTAATTTGCACCAACCAACCATTTCATTATGCAGTAGTGATCTAGTCACTCTTTTTGCTTCTGCTTTTTGTTATTCCATATTTTGTTATTCCATATTCCAATAATGACTCCCCTCTGACCTCTCTATGTCATCTGTGGCAGCCTATCCAATAGACCCATCAGCGTTCACAATGGGATGTCGAAAGTGCATCATTACTCTGCTATCGGATCGATAGAACTTAATTTGGGCAGGTAGGACCAAATACAAAAACAGAGCAATCTCCCTTGGGCGCTCAGTTGGACAGCTTTCACTTTTTTATAAAGAGCCCGGTTTTCTATTTTGGCCTATTGTTCAAATTCCACTGGCAGCTCTCCTACGTGTTAGGTCCAAGGAATCTCCAATCAATTAGTTTTAGATTAGTACCACGGGCTATAAGAGGTGAAAGCTTTTTTAAAATAATGGCTTCATTTGGAAGAATGGGGGAAATAGAGCCGAGGTTACCTATGTATGCCCCAAAGGGTTTTCCCTAGATGTAGGAAATACCATTAGCTCAGTTATTCATAAACAGTGTGTCCAATTGTCATAGATTTGCTAGAGAGCCTTACTCATTTCTATCCAATGGTCCAGTGTTCGTATTTGAACCCTAACACTTTTATTTCAATCTATACACTCAAAAACAGATTTTACTCTGCTGTCCACATGATTGATTTTCTAAAGGAATATGTCACTTCTATAGTACAACACAGCCAAGCCTTGCTCCTCTTCCTCAGTTCATATATATCCTTTCCTTAGTATGTATTCATCCAGAGAATATATTGTTCTCACTTGACAGCCAATGAGAGGAGTCTGACTCCAGTCCACAGGGGCCAGAATCCACAAATTGAGACTGACGGATGTACAGTTACTGTACCGTAGGGATTGCCTGTGTGTCTTCCCTCCAGTCTGGCCAATTAACAACAATGATGAATCAATATGAAGCAATCTCTGGCAGCCCCAGGCTTCCAGAGGAAAACATAACCGGGAACAATTGAGACGCTACGACTTGTGGCAGTCTCTGAGGAGTGGAGTCAATCCCTCTCTGTCCAGAGCTGTGAATCCCAGAGGTCCATTGGAACTGGTAATCAGGCATGGTGTCTGCTTTGAACAAAATAATAAAACCATTCAAGGAGTCTCTTGTTTTCCCAACTCGTGGGTCACAGAGAGTCTGCAGAGAAATTTAAGTTAACGTCAAGATAGCGGTCTTTGTGATTAACGGGTACTTTGGGTGGAACAGCTCTGGCGAGTAGGCAACAAGCTTTTTATTAATCGAAGAACTAGTGTAGATAATTTATATTCGCCCCAAGCTATTTCATGTGGGTTTTACACTCTTCTAGACAATATTGCTGGCTGCCTCGGGGGACTCATTGCTACAAGTTTGGTTTCTAATTTCAGTTTGGGCTTATTGAGAAACAGAAATTAATAGTCATGGAAAATCACACAACCCTCTCGATTGCCTGCTTTTGGAGTTGCGCTCAGCGCAAACCTTTGGCAGAGAAACTGTATACAACGCAATGGTTCCCTGGGAATGGCAGTGAGTTCTCTTTGCCCCTGTTTAATTAAACTTGTGAATCCATACGATAAGGTCTTCAGTGGAAACATGGACTTTGGTTTAATGCTGTAAGCATGAAAACACTGTCCAAATAGAGGCTGGCTCCACACTTGCAGGAGCAAACCCAGAAGCATTCCTCTTCCTGTCCCCAAATGCCCCTTGCTCCCTCACCATTAACACGTTAACGGTGCATTGAACCTGCTCTGCTGTTAACATATCTTTGTGTCACATCTCTTGGAGTTCAATATTGGTACAGAAAATGGGAGTCTTGGGACAGAAGTTATGCGATAAAGGGAATCCAACAGAATGTCCCTAGAATTTTGATCTCCAACTTTACCCCGGTACATTTATCTCCCCTTGTTCTGCAAAACAGAATGATATATTTATGTTGTAAACCTGTAAAATATACTACCTTTTTACATCAGATACATTTCAGAAGCTGCAGTTTGGTGCAATTCGAAGATACATATTTTCGTGTGACAGTCCTTTTTTCCACTATCGGGGTCAACAGGGCTAGCCAGGGCTAAATTCACATTACAGCTATTGCATTGAAAATGTTCTCTAGCATCCTGCTGCTCTTGGAGAATAGTTATCAGCAGTTCATTTTACATAATGCATTTTCCAATGCCTTACAAAGACAATAATAAGGCAATTATTGAACATGCTAACCCAGTTATGGTACAGGACTCGTTGTGGAAAAACGGTATCTTCAGTTTTTAGCCAGTAAGTAAGAGTCAAACAAACATGAAAGGACAGCTGCTTTATTTTTGGAGGACTTGGGCTGTCATGAATTTCGATAGGCAGAGCCAAAGGTCTAAGAGGCGTCAAAGTCAGGCACAGAGAATTCACATTATGAACTGAAAAACACAAACTGGCTGGAGTTAATGTAACTGACCTTCTCAGTTAAGTTTAGCTGCAACTAAACTAAATCTGTAAACAGATTCTAAATGCACATGCAGAACAACATTTTGGTATTGGAAGTGCTCTGCTTTCCGTTTGTGTTCTGAGTTGTACTGATCAATCACGTCTGAGCAGACTTTGGTTGCATGTGGGTAAACGGTCCATGTGGAGAGCGAAAGAGGTGGAATGTATCGGCCGAAATGCACAGTCGGAACCCACCGAAGATTTAGCTTTTCATTGGTTTAAACTTAGCTTATAAACTGGCTACTCCAGTTGTCTCTCAACTCAAACTCCTGTCTTACATCTCAAGTTACTAATTAGACATTAAACAAAGAGCCGCAAACAGAAATAGAAGCATTGGCCTGGATATCCGCTTGCTACACTGGAACCCCAGAAATATAGCTCCTCACAACTACTTAAGCCAGTTTAAGTTTAAATTCAAGTGACCTGGCCTGCCATTTGGTAGCAGTAATGGTACGGCCATGAATGCATAAATAGTCATTGCCTACCTCTGCCACAGAGTATACGTTTTCAGTTCGGTTTTCTTTTTGTCACAAACTTTTTAAAGCATTTTTTGCCGGAATACACTACTCAGTATTCCAGATTTACCTTATGGACATAACAGATACCTTGGCAGAGGTATGCACGCGTCGGCTGTTTTCTACACTTGAACATAGTCACCGGATGGTCACACATTGTTACTCTTTGGCTCTGCCTAAAAGAAAGGACCTTTTTTCCCTTCCGAGATGCTCTGCCCCTGAGTGACGTGTTTGTATCTAACTCAAAAGCTACAGAGGGAATTCAACCGCTAACCCCTACAGTATGAGACCAGCTGAGCTGACCTTGGCCCTGGCTAGTTTCACTGGCTCTGAAGAGGAAGCAGGACTTTGATTTAACTGCGAACATTGCCGTCTCTCTGCTGGTGAGGTTGAGTCGTTTATTTGTCCGTTCATTTCCGGGTTGACCTGATCCTTTGATCCTTTGACTCACAGTCAACCGAATGGCAAAGACTGACGACGGAGGGAGTTCCCTCATGGATCCAACACACAACAAAAGTGAAGGAGTTTCTACCGGAGGCCAACTGTGACAAACGCACACTAATGTAGAGAATCAATGAATATACTGTACGTGTTTGAATAGATTAGAGTTACACTATATGGACATGAAATGTGAGAACACATACACCATATACCCTCCCATGCATAACTAAGTATACATAACAGACACACACACATATACACACATTAAACAAACCACAATGACACCTGCCCACACACAATATGGACTGAATATTTCTATCCACGTTTACAGACACAAATGGTCTTAAAAAGTGCCAAAAAGGCAAGTTTCATGTGCAGGCGGAGTGGAACCAAACATCTGTAGAAATGAACTAAGTGTCTTTACGGGACTAAAAGCCTAAGTGTATTTCTTTTTTGTTATGTATTTATTTCTCTGTATAATCAATACATTCTTCTGCTCAACTGTTTTCATTTTCAGCACTATGGTTCCCATGATTTGTTCAAAACTGTTATCGATGTGTATGTTAGAATGAAATTGCTCGTGGTGAATGTCACATTTGGAGTTCTCATGGGTTCTTCTGATCTGTCTGACTTCAGAATTACAACTCGAGGGCAGTCACACATGTTCAATCACATCTAACAACAACGGAAGAAGCTTTTGCTTCGGGGACATCTCGTATTTAGATCAGCTGACAGCACAATGTTTATCCAACTAGTAGAACCGTATTTAGATGTGAATATTTAGGATTATATCAAGTTTTTAGTCAACCAAAGTTTTGGATTTAAAAAGAAAAGAAAAAAAAGTACGTTCCCATACAATGACACTACATTTTTTCGGGGGGATTACGTTTGCTTTTGACTTTTCAAATGAGTCACTGGAGGTCCACATAGAGGTCAGGGTGGAGGACGGGTAAAAAAAATCACAGGGCTTTCGCCTGCGGGAAGCAAATACTTTGAGTTTTTGTTTTCTATCAATTTCGTAATCACTCAGGTTAGTTAGTTTTTTTTACCAAATCTAACAAAGTAGTTTTGTAGTGTGCTTTGATTCAATGAACATCAACCGCATGTGTGTATGTGTGATTGAGGGAGTTTGTTTTGACTGTCGGTTCGGTCGCGGGAGTGACGGCTGGGTAGTGGGGATCTGAAGCAATTTCAATTAATCTGCCTTTCAGTCTGCAGGGCTCTCCAATAAGGCCAAGCTCATTCACTTGCTCGCTGTCACTCTGACACACACACACACACACACACACACGCTCTCTCTCTTGCTCTGTGACACATGGATTGTAATTGCATGCTGCCCATTTCATACACACAGTTCACTGGCACATACACACTGAACGCAAACAATCAGAACAAATACACAATTTCATGTCTCACACAAGCACTGGTTGTAATTACACACTATCACGCGTACACACACACACACACACACACACTGTTCTCTAACACAGGAATATTGTTTCATACATAATTTCATCCCTATTCAATGCATGCACCCTCCTCCTGGCTGAGTGAATTATTCCCTTTCTGTAATGCTTTTACTCCTGCCCCTCCATGCCTGATTAACATTAGTGCAGCAGGTTAACTTGCACTCTGACAACAAGCGCGGTGTGCTGGTTGCCCCAACACCTGCCCTGCAGCGTGGGGGGGGCCTGAGTCAAAATAATTGTCTGACAGGGACTCCCATAACAGCTGGGTTCAGTGAGTTGAGGGAAAAGAAAGGCAAATGGGAGAGAAAGAGAGACTGAAGAAGATGAACAGGAATGAAAAAGAAAAGAAAGTGACAAACAGATCAAAACTTTTGATGAAGAAGGGTTGAATGCTCCATAGGTCATCTTAATCTCCCACTGTTAAACGAGACAAATCATCATCCACCTTTTTAAGTCCAAACTTGTATTTTGGGTTTATACGAGAACATGTTTGCATGCTTTAATGTTAAAAAAAACAAAAAACTAAATATTTTTCTGGCTCTGTTTTAGTGCCTGTCACTTTAAGACCCCCTCCCACAAAACCCAGTCTGCTCTGATTGGCTAGCGAGAAAAATACGGTGCACGTTAGCAAAAGTAGTTTTCAAACAACGTGTCCTTGTTGCTTGAGATATCTTATGAAAAGTTGCATTTTTTGCTCCTTTTCCGACAAATGTCAAAGGAAAGAACTTAACTAAATTTAGGCAACAAAAGGATTTGGTTAGTTATTGGAAAAGATCGTGGTTTGGTTTCAAATAATTATGGAAGTGGATTTGCTCAAGTACAGAAGTTACATGACAAATAGATGGGGGTTGACTGACTGGTTTGTCTTATTTCACAGTTTTGGAGTTGGTAGTCAGTCCAGGTACCCAAACGTATGTGCACAAGCACTGAAAAAGTGAATTATTCCACAACTTGTCCCCTTTAAATCCCTTTGTGTGAACGACCTTGCGCGAGAGGCACAACTGTACACAGTAAGTACTGCAGTTTGACTGGCTGACTGGGAGTCAAACGTGTCCTTGAGCAAGGCACTGAAGCTGAAAGCATGCACCGGGGTCAGACTGTAGCTGTATCCCAGATATGATTTCAATATCCATAACGACAGACATTTAAAAATAAGACTATTTTAAGTTTGATTTTTGTCCGCAGTAGGCTACCCACCAAGAGACAAAAACCAACAATGTGTTAGTCAGTGCAATATACGCTGCCGTTTAACATTAGCTGTTGAGTTAATTTATTTCAGTGACGATGTTTAGTTAGATGTCTGTCCTGCTCATATAAACTCCTGATTCCTGCCCCAGTGCATCATCTTTTTTCTCGGGTGTGGACTAATGCCTTTTTGACAGCTGTTGATTCTGAGTAATACTGTCGACTCCAAACAGCTGGAAACGGTGTTTTACAAAAGGCACGAAAGTGTGTGTGCATATTTATTTGATGGGGTATCATTTGAGTGGGTGAATCCCAATGGGTGGCATACCACGATGTGGCCTCTAGTGTTTGAATCACAAAGCTGCCTTTGTTTTATTGTCCTGGTAAAATAATAGCGACATGAAACGGGAACGTTTCCCAGACAAATCCCTGTTAGCTAGCGGGGAACCCAAGTGCTGGAAACTTCAGAGGACGTCCCAAAAGTACAAAGAAAAAGGACAGCGTGATCCAATTGTCTGACAACAATTGTCTGCTTTTGCTTGTTGCCCCGTGGGGGGGGGGGGGGGGGGAGAACACACGCTGCAAAAGGTAATAAACATCCAAATAGTGAGAGTGGTAGCAGATGTCTATAGGGTCTAGAAAGCATGTGAGAGTGCACGTGACTGTCCTGTTTGTGCATGTGTGTTTCTCTGGGTTCGACTGTGCTGATGTTCCTTGTCTAACTTCTTGTTACGTTGCTTGGATGACATTTTGTCTCCTCACTCTCTCTCCCTTGAAACATTACTCGTCTTTTATATCAGTGATTTACTTGTATTCCACTGAAATGATGTTCTTGTGTTCATCTGGTTCTCACAAAATGTGAAGGTGGAAGCAGCAATGAGGCTGAGAGGAGTGTCCGGTCAAAAATCAGTAATCTCTGTTTTCTTTGACGACTTTTCCCCCCATATGGTTGTTCAGGGTCTTCCCCAGGAAATGTGTTGGCAGAGGGAGTCAGGGAATGTACAGTGTGATCGATCTGACACGTCTTGACACCTGCAACGTGAAATATGTTGACAGATCACAAACGTAGCTTCAACACCTCTGACACGAACCTGGTTGAAAGTCCTGTGTTTGTTTGACCCAACCGCCATAAGAAGTCTTTTTCACCCTTTAAACTCCACCATTAGCTCTGAGTGTTGCATATTCATGTGGAGTCATTTAAAATGAGCGTCCACCGCTACAGAGGATGATAATTGACTCTCCATTGGTTTTGGCGGAACAGTCAAGGTTGCTAGGTAGCAGATAAGAACAAAAGGCTGTCATTAACTGCCTTCTGCCGTCATCGTATTGGGAAAAGTGCTGGATGGAGGATATTGCTGCGGGACGGAGACACACATCCAAATATACATACAGGATGTGTATACGCACTCACACACACACACCTAATAAGTTAATGACCTTTCTACAACAGCATCTATCAATTCGACATCAGAGGAAGCATCAGAGTGGAGATGGAGTGAGAGGACGGCAACAGGGAGAGATTGCACAGAAAGATTTAAAAATAATGGAAATCCATTATAAGAAATAACTCATTTTTAATAATAATAATTAATGACTATTATTACATGGGCCATGCTAAGAGTTTCACATGAGCCACAGTAAGGATGTGTGATTTTCTTCAGCCCGTCTGGCGTCAAACCTGTCTGGACAGCCATGAAAATGTCAGACTGGAACCTCAAAGAGGCAAACATCAAAGGTCTCACACCCTGGGGGAACCTGTCTCATTGAAATGTGTCTCCGCGCAATGAAATGTGAGCATCATTACATTTTACAGTCGGAAGGCTAATTTCGGATGATTTTCTAGAAAATGGCTGCCTCCGGCCAGTGATGTCATCCTCCATCAGCTGCGGTCCGGAGACATAATCTGCATGCTCCTCCTCCTCCGACTGAGCGTTTGGATCGTTTGCTTTGATAAGACGAGCGCTCTGTGTTCGTGTGCTGAGCTCACTTTCATCAAACGCAGCACCGCTGCCGCCGCTTTTTGTTGGCTCTGATTTAAATAATTACCTCACTAAACAAGCAACAGCGTACATCTGTCTTCTCATAAACCCATACTATGTGAAAGGCAGCCTGATTAAATGGGCAACTGTCTTTTCTTTTACAACCCTCCCAGGTAGGAACCTGCTCGATTAAACACAAAGCAATATCTGGCTATTATCTTCTGCGTAACCCTCCTGATTAACAGTGGAGCACTCTTCAGGCCTCACTTTACCCAGCTGGTCTTGTTGTCCTGACTCTACCCCCGTCTCACCATGACTACTAAGACGCTCTCAAGTTGTTGAAGTGAATCATCGCTTATTAAAGATACAGTTGTCTAGCACAGCCCGGTGTCACTTTGTGGCTGGATGAAAGCGCAATAAAACCTTTTAGCTGGAGCTCAGAGAGAGGACGTTAAGCCCCCCCAAGAATCGTGTTCTTGGCTTCCAGAGGGGGGGTGGCTGCAGTGTGTACCAACACACACACACACAGGTTTTCTTCGAGCGATTCTGTTAAATACTTTACCGCTGCCTATCCCACTCCCACAACTTGATTAAAATCTTCTCACTTCATGTGCAGCAGTTACCGTTTCAGAGTCTGTGATGCTCCGCTTCATACTCGAGGAGGGCTGATGAGGCGGATATCGGAGTAAAAGTTAAGGACTTGTGTCGAATTGCTGTGGAGAGGGAAATGAAAGGACAGGAACCACAGATGCGGTTGGAAGAGGAAGACGTAGAAGAGGTGTATAGACTGAAACACAGAAGGAGAAAGGAAGAAGGGTTAGCTAAGAGCTTTAGCTGATGGAATGACAAGAGAGCTAGGGATCTCAGACGCTGTGGTGTACGACACGACAATTTCTTAACTAATTTGCATGCTATCACAACGCTGTTGCTTCTCATGTGTCAATTCACGCCATTTAGTACAATTGAATCTGTATGGACTGCATTGTGAAACTAGCCGTTTGAATATGCTGCGCTCAGAGCTGATGACGTAGAATGAGCAAAGAAGAGTAAATGACTCAATATAAAAAGGTACGAAAGACTACTTATGGTGAGCAGGTCAAACAAACACAGGACTTTCACCCAGGAGAACGCTGTTTGTGTCCTGTGTGAAACCAAAAGTCTTCACTTATGTTGAAGTGACGTTTGTGACGTGTTTGTGCAGTCAGGGGGACGAAGCTAGCGTTTTCTTTCTTATATGTTAAATACAAAAGAGAATTTTTTACAATACGTTCCTACTTTTGTTGTGTTTAGTGAAGCATAATCTGCATTGACAGCTGTTTAAATCACAGAAATATGTGTTTGATTTTCCAACTAACTTGCCAAACACTGGAAATCATGAAGTAGTTTGAAATAAAAACTGACCTTTTCTCATGTAGGTATGAGGACTTGTTGGGAAATACACACATACATGCCACACTTCTAAAATGTGCCAGTAATCCTTTGATGATAGTCATCAAAATAAAAGACATTACTCTGGATTCACAGATGAATCCTTTAAATTGAGTCCCAGTGAACAGTAGGAGGAGGGACACGGTGTCAAAGACATGGAAGGACAGGAAAGGAGGCATTGAAGAATCCCAAAGAGGAAAAGCATGTAGGATATTATGAAATATGATAGAGGCAGCTTGTCGTGCTCCGCGGGCAGAAAGGTACATTTAGGAAGCGGAGAGGTGGTGGGTGAAGGCAGAGAGGGGGAATAAAAGAGAGTAAGAGCTTGCACGGGACAGTTCTTTGGAGACAGATGCAATGAGATTTTCCTGAAACAATATTCGGAACGCCACTTGGACGATCATCCACCTCCCCCGCCTTTTCCCCCCAACGCCCGTCTCATCTCTCTCTCCTCATCTGTCACTCTCTCTCACTGCCTCCCTACCATTTCTCCCCTTCCTGCTACCCCCACCTCCCTCACCCACAATCCCCCCTCTCCTCCCTCTTTTGCAGCTGAAATGACACCACGCTCCTGGAGTTTCATCAGAATGTGCCTGGCATCACTGATGGGACCAGGAACCGCGTGTGTGTTGGTCTTACCATGTGCTAATTTATGAGCATATACAAAAAACACAGATAGCACGTTAGTTATCCCTTTAGCGTGTGTGATGTGTAGTCCTAGTTTCCTGCTCTTTACGAGCGTGTGTGGGCGTTTCAGTTGATGCTTTTGGATTTACAGAGTGCCATGGCATGTAATACACAGCTCTGCCCAGGGGCCGATCCGGTCTGCTGCACGGACGCTCATCAGTGGTTCCAGATGTTCGTGGTTAGAGGTTGGAAGGAGATATAGGTTTTTTAAAACGTTATGTTTCTACCTAAGAACCTGTGGAGCTAACATTAACAGAGTACGTTAGCATTAGCACTTCTATGCTACGCTAGCCACTGAAGGTAGCTTTTTACTTTTTAATAATTGTAATAGTGAATGTTAGTTCTACCCGGCTTCACAAGAACAGTGTTGTTCCTTAATTTCATTGTCTTATGTCTGGATCTCCAGGTGATGTCGTGATGAACACTTCAGCTTCTATGTAGACCCGAATGTTCTGTCCATCTCTGAAATCGCTTTTTCGTTATTCTAAAAATTTGATAATATTCATGCAGTGCTAACAAAGTTTCAATGAGGTTCGCTTTGAGTTGCATCGAGATGACTTTGATATAACCTGAAGGTACCTTAAATCTCTCTGTAAAACTGGGGTCAGACATTGTCCTAATGTCAGTTCAAACCCGTTGCAGAATTACAATCCGTCATTTCAGTTTTTATTGAGAAGACATTCTGCTTTTATATCAACAGATGAGAATAAGCAGAGAAGGGATGTGAAAGTGAGCCTAACATGTCTTTTCACAACTATCAAGCATTGTATTGCCAAATGAAAGCCAACTGTCTCAGTCATCATTAACAGTGTCATCAGCCACAGCTATCACCCTTACACCATGCGTTCTCACGTTGAGCTCTGCCTCTGACAGCGCGTGAGATCACATCGTATGGATGTGACAGCTATACACGATACGACAAGAGTGTTAAAACGTGTTGGGAAACCAACAGCAGAACGCCGGCTTGCAAAAAAATGACCTGGCCTGGGGAAAAATTGATCGGTATAAGATTTACACATTATCATTCTCCCCAGCGCACAGATGAGACCCAGTGCTCCCAAAGCCAATTTGCATCGTGGACGTCTTCATAACCAGATGTTATTTTTCACAATTACACTCCATAGTTACAGTAGATTCCTCTCCAGAAGAAAACGCTTAAATGCTTCTCAGACTGCGATCACATCGCTGTGTTTTGCGAGCCGTTGCGTGACCTCAATCATAGAAGCCGAATCAGTCCCGTTAGCCCACATCACCAGCTGTTGCCATGGCGATGGCCCCAGGTGGCACGCCGGTGGACTCCAAATCCACCACATTTTCTCACGCCACCGAGAGATCATCAACATCTCAATCAGTGGCCGACAATAGTCTCTCTGAAGTGATAATTTGATAATTTGCAGAGCGAGCCGATAAACACGTTTCCCGCCCGTGGTCTTGGGGGAGAGTCGTCTCTCTCTCTGCCAGCTATTCACAGCTAATTCTGCCTCTCGAGTGACCAAGACGGACGTCGGCTCTCCCCCGTCGTTCTCCAGCAGTGTCACACTCCAGCCGCCCCCCCCCCCCCCCCCTCATTTCCTCTTTTGTACTTTTTGGCTTTGCCCTCCATCTTCAACAGTGGAACAAGGCAAATCACTGCCAATGCTTCAAACGTAAGAAATCTAATATTTAAAATGTATTTTTATGCATGTAAGCAGATGTTTACTATGGTAATTATCAGAGATGTGGTTGGTCAATTATAACTTCCAGAGAACTGAAGTTGTTTTAAATGGAGAGCACAACAGGCTTTTTTACACCGTCCTCCCCCTTTATGTCGTCTTTACAAGCAGGTTTCTTACAACCCCTACATCCGTTGTTGTGACAAAAGTCAACGTTGACTTGCGAACGTAATTTAAGTTACGCAACAAACGCATTAATTTGAATTGAAAACCATCATCTTTTCCTAAACATACCCAAGTATTTTTGTTTCAATACATAGCGTTAACCACGTGTTTAAAACCATGTGTCACTGGTAGTCTCCAATGATCATATCTGTTGTTTTGGGACTCACAGTTAATCTACCAATTCTGTTGTTCAGGTACGAGATGAACTCATCTGAGTTTGTTCCTTTGACAAAGTTTATGATTATGGATGTGACACATATCAAACCAATGATTGGTTGTAGCTGATCAGGTCGCCCATCTCGCCCTTCTTAAAGCTGGACAGAACGTCTTTCTGCATAAGTTCTTATTGACCACCTGAGAAGACAAATCAAGTCTTTAAGCTGGTCGATGTAGCACTGATGTCGCAGACCCGGTCACTGAAACAGTCCAATTAACGAGACGTGATTAACCCGTCGATCTATTTAAACTACTTGGTCTGTTTGTAACAGATCAGTATGAACCCCCTACAAACTATACATTTTCTGTAGCTCATCCCACGAGAACCAAACACTAGAGTGAGACTGTAATTGCCTTCCAAAAAGACAAACAAGCATTTTCAGATTTGCTGTCTTCATAGTTAACGCATAGCTCCAGTCTCTGAAGTTGAACTCAACCACACTGATCTCATCCCTGTAGCTTTAATAAAGTCACACGGGACTATACCGAACTACAGCTACAAACGCAGCAAAAAATCTTAAAACAGCCCAATAAGTGCCGTCTTTCTGCAGTTAAGTCGAAAAAAGTTAATGACAGCACTTCTGTCTTTATCTGTCCAGGATCATGAAAAGTAAATTTGGACTACTCCTACTAGCCAAGCATGAAAACATCTCAAAACTAAATTTTAATGTTTGAAGAAGTGCTTTAAATCTAATGCAACTGGACTAGAGGGGCGAGGGAGGGAAATAATGAGCATGTAGAGACAGAGAGAGAAGTATATTCTTAATCACCCGAATTACAATGGTTGTGTGTGTGTGTGTGTGTGTGGACGACGGGGGGCTATTACATGCACATTACATTAATGGTGTGCCTGTGTGTTTAATTGAATTGCTCTAATCTTAATAACTGCATGTAACATCATGCAAACGCCATTTTCTGTATGTGGCTGCGCCTGCAGCCGTTTACACTCTCTACACTGTGACTTTGTTGTGACCCCGTACGAGCAGCCCAGTCGCCAGCAAATAAATGTTGCTCTTACACGTTTCTGAAAACCACACTTTATGTTGAACATCATTGTTTTTTGCATTCAGCCAGAGCAGGAGCGGGTGTGAGGGGTCAAACAAATACGAACTTTCAACCTGGAGTTAGCCATTCGTGTCCGTGTGACGTCAAAGTTAAACGTTTTATTTATTACGTAATATTGCTAAGCTGGTTGGGTAACGTTACGTTAAAAAAAGTTTGCTCAGGGTGGTTGTCCTTTATGGACGATAGTTCTGCTGTTACGTTATGTTGACACTTTATTATTTGGTCTATTTTGCTGCCTGAACCGAACCAATCTTTCCAACGTCTTATCCACGTGGCATTGCGCATTTCTGCAAGCGTGATAGAAGGCTGATATGAAACGTATTTATGAAACGTATCGTCGACAACACATTTGTGGGTTTGCAGAAAACGACTGAATGAGTGACGACAGAGTTGCATATGAGTGGAATTAGTGTCGGAGTTTCCCACTGTGGAATAGCACACACACACACACATATGCCAGGTGAGAGACTTTAGGAATCACAGAGTAGTGGTCTTGCCATGGGAGACAGATCAGCTAACTGCATTTTGTTGTCGTGCAAAAGGAGAAACGCACACACACACACACACACACACACACTGTTGGCAATGCCTTGTTGGATGTTTGTCTGCCTTCATTAGCATCAGATTTAGCCGTGTTAACCATCCGACACATAGCCAAACATTTTAGCTCTTTGTTCATCCGCTGAGGCTGTTTAAGTTCGGGGGGGAAACGTTAAAGCATTTAACGCTCGATGGTTAAATGGACGGAGACGGAAAAAAGCAAAATACTGATTTTACTCCTGAGTCCATTCTTTAACACAAGTAAACAAGTACAAATTTAACCATGACAGATTACATTTTTATTGTAATTAGTTTTTACATTTTTACTCGGTACTCATACTGAGGTTGGTTCATTCATCCATCATTTTTCATAACATTTTCGAGAACCACTAACCAGATGTGCCATTAAACTTACTGTCGATATTCATGAACCCCAGATGATCAATCCCTTTGTTTGTCTCGACCATTCTTCATCATAACCACTTCTGCCTAAAAATAGGAAATATCACAGTGTAACAAACAGTCAGATGGACAGATTGCCATTAAATTCCCCGAGCACATTCGTGCTCCCCAGAGGATGAACCATGAAGAATTTGGACAATGCATCCACCCACAGGCCAACATATTGCCTGTAAAAAACAAAATGTCATAATGGAATAACTTACCATTAAAGTCATTGATTACAGTTACAACGTATATTATTTTTCCTCAGGTTAAACTGACTAAACAGGTTTAGTCTGATGAACATAACAGCCTCAAGGGATCATTAGTGGGATGTCATTTTTTAACAATGTTTCTTCCTGTGATTCATATTTTACTAAATTTCATCAACAGATTAATTAATTTGGCAATGTTTCCATTTTCTTTACAACCTCAGATCTCTCTTTTTGAAATAATGAAAAATCATTATTTTCCCATCTCTTACATTAGCCATATACTCAGTTTTATTTTAAATATAAAAATCAGTTTTTGTAGAAATGATCAACCAAGAAAACACTAGTTTTGTGTTTGTATTAATGAGCCCCGAGCTAAAGAATACTGGAGAGACTGTGTCGGGACATTTGCATTTTGCACAAACAAACAGAGAGACAACTGCCAGTCTACATCATTTGTTTGATCAGCTTTTTGTATTTCTATTTTGCTCTGCCTCACATTTTAATGCCACGCTTTTTGTCACTGCCGCTCAACTCTGGACTCAACTCTGACCTGACTACTGTGGATCACCGTCCAAATGTGGAAAAATATTCAGAAACTACTTTGGAGAGTTACAATATGCACCTACAGGCCTTTAGACATAAAGTGTAGTGTTTGTCCTGCCCATTCAATTGAACAGGTCTTGTATCTGCATTTAACCATATTCTCTCTCTCTCCATCTCTTCTGTCTGTTGTTAACTGCCGGCCACAACATCAGCAAATTCCCCAAAATATTCTAAACCTTGTAAGAAAACAAAACAATCCCACACAAATGAAATGATTGTCCCGTGGACACAGAAAAAATTAAACAAAATGTATATTATGAATCCTTTTTATCCTCATTTCAACGTCAAAGTTGTACACTGTTGCCCTGAGAGTTGTTCTTATCAAATACAGAAAGTGGACAAACATTATATTCTACTGATAGTATTTGTGTTTCCATGCTTTTTTTATTTTCTTCTTGTACTTTTTTAACACTCATACTTCTACACGTGTGCCAGATGTTATTAGTTGAGTTTGTAATGTGAAGCGACAGATCAGAGGGGAACCATGACACTGTAAGTGTGACACGCATGACGATGGATGAAATTCAGACAATGAGCTGAAATGTGAATATGGTTTGTCTCCACTGTACTGCCTCGACTAACAGACGGCTGGTATTGTGTAACGTTCACTGACCCGCGTCTGTGGCGGTAGCTATTTCTATCCAGCCTGTGCTCATTTGCGTTGACTGTTGTTCGCTTTACTTTGTGTACTTTGATCTATTTCTGGTGTGATTTTACAGCAGTTTGGTTGCCTGTTAGGGAGGCAGCGTGTAAACTAAACAAAGAAGGCAAACAAACAAGATAAATCTGTGAATTTTGTACAAACTGTAGGAACAAATGACTGTTTTTCTACTGAGCCTGTTATCTCTATATGTTTCTCTGGTGGAGGGGAGGGTGGGAGGAGAGGGGTGTGTGGAGGTGGGGGTGAGACTTTTCTGTAAGCGGTCGGGGAGTGTGCAATGACGACTTGTAATTATTAAGAGAATCCAAGGTATAAAGGTGGAAAAAAATGTCCCTTATGACAAATGAAATAAAGTGTTATATTTGCATGATTTCCTGTATTTTCATGGAGCAGATATTTATGGTTGTGTATACTGAGTTGATGTACATCACATTAATAAGTGTTTATTATGAAAATACTGTCGCTTTCTTCTGTGAATATAAATATACAGTTTTCATAGCTCTTTTATGACGAACTCGAGCTGTCGCTGAATGTTTCTTGTTGGCTGCACTCACTGTCGTCACGCTTTCGTTCCCGTCACGACTCCGCAGTATCTGTCCTCCATCAACGAATGTGAGATCTTTGATAACTCCAAACCGCGCTGCACTCTTTCAAAGTATATTTAGTCTCCAAGACGCTGGATAAGGCCTGTTCCTCTGAGCTTTCAAATAACACCCGAACAAATCCCCCTTTCAACCCTCTCCCATGAGACACAGATTTACATTTCGGAATCAAGGCTTCAAATGCCACCACCTCACGGAAAAACTCTAAATGCATTACACCAGACCTTTCACTTTTAAAAAGGCTGTCATTCAGCTCCTGCATCCTAAGTGGAACTGCAGTATACAAATTAGTCCGACAGCATTGTTGTTGTGTTAATAGTCTTAAAATGCAAAGGCAACCGTGGAAGGTGAAAGAGGGAAAAGCAGCTCTTCATATGAAAGAGGGAGAGTGATGAGGCTGCATTCACATATCCCTTTAGGTAATCAAGTTTCCTTATCGGTTTTTGTACGCCTTTCTACTTTCAAAATAACAACAGCAACAAGTGACAAATGGCTCATTCAACTTCAATTACATCAACATTAAGAGGCATGTTGCATTTCATTGGACCCCCCCACCCCAAAAACAAATACAGCATCACCAGACATGAGAAATAACAGTGATGGTGTTCAGAGCAGTGGGCAAGCCACTGTTGCTTTTATCACAAGAACGAGTCAAAGAACGTCAGCCGACTGATGCTTCGAGTTTGTGGTCGAGGATGAAAGGATGGAAACAAGACAGGATTTAACTTAAGGGTGATCTTGTCTTGTTGATGCATTCCACTGAGGGGAGGGAGAGTGAAAAAATAAGACGTGTGGGGGAGCGAAGTGCAAACTGTAAGAAAGAGCCTAAATATATAAGTGTATCTATAAAAACACACATTCATTTTACAAACATCTAAGGCCATGTTAAGACTACAAACTGCATTAACGTAGGGCTGCTGCACAATCATCACCTTGGATAGCTTCACAACAAACACCTTGGGCAGTTGCACAATCAACAAGCTAGAACAGCGTCCGAGACTCATTGTTCATATCTCATTTTGGAGAACACAATTTAAAAGTAATTAAATAAAGCACCGTTTGATGTTGTCACTACTGCACCAGTTAAAAGATAAGCACCGACAGCGACCACACTCGTGTAATTGCTTTCATATTATCGAACATTAAAACTTGCACCATCATTTTGAAATTGAACTATAAAATGAAACCATCGTGCAAAAGCTGAATTTGTTGAATATGCGGCTCGTGTACATCTGCTGTCTGAACTGCTGTGAGGGTTGGAGAGCTGTGTTGCTGGTGTGAAGCTGCCTGTGGCTGAACGACACCGGCGGCCTGCAGCATCGAACAGAGATAGGCTGCTATAGATGCGAGCACTTGACTCTGCCCTCCTCCTTGTTGGGAACTCATTGTGTTTTGACCTTTAAGTCCCCTCGATATCTCCCTCCATGTCTCTCTCGCTGTTTTCCTCCCTCCTGCTATCTGGCTGTGAGGGCCGGGGACTTGACAGCTGATTTGAAGCACTGCAGCAGCACCAGCGTTTTGTTAAATGAATTCCCTCCTTTCCTATCTCCGTTTCTTTGCTGAGTCTGTCTTAATACGTCCTGTCTTTCACCTGTGATTCTTTCTCTCTCCATTTTACTGCCGTGTATCTCCCTCCCTCTCTCCATTGTTTTAATGAGAGTGAAAGAAGGAGCGTGAGAGTTGCGTATCAGTATGCACAGCGTGCAACCCCCTCTCTCAGCAGAAACCTGGTATCTGTGCCACAGAAGCAATGGCTGCTCAGGGCGATGGGAATATGGATTCGAGCCCCGGACAGTGCACTGACATTTTATATCAGTTCTTCATAAAATGCCAGAAACAGAAAGAGACAGGAGACACAGGGAGAATCGTACAGTCAGAGAAAATTTCAAATATCACTCAAGTAGTTCACATAAAACATTTACTGTATTTATTTAGTTTTATAACCGTCAGATCGACGGTTGTATTACTTTGTTGATCAATTTATTAAAAACATGCTTGTTTGGGGGCATTGCTTGGATTAAAGTCTGGGAAGTCCTGTGTTTGAATGCAACCCAGGATGTTGTTTCATGGCCTGAGCTGACATGTTCACATGGGGGCACCACATGGGCACTTTGTTTTTGTTCGTCCATCTGCTCCATGTACTGTAGGACCCATGTGGGTCCATTCTGCCCATATCAGGAGGGCGGTAATGGGACCGAGCTTGGCCATGGGTTTGTCCTTTGACTTTGGATTGGGACAAGATACATGTTCAGCTCTTACAGCCTAAGAGGAATACATGTTTTGGTAGCCATTTGGAAAAAACACGTTACCCAAGGTGATAGAGCTTTATGTGATATTTGTGTTATACATTTGTGAATATTACCATTTTTCTCAAACCAGATAACACACATGGGCAACTGAAGTCAAACTCTTTGTAGAGATCACCTTCCCAACCTCAGTCAACGTCGCAACAGCGAGATGGAGGACGTCGCTTATGCCAATGAGAGAAATATTCTCCTTTCCTGGGACAGTGGGTTGTTTCAGGAGAGGTGAACTGCAGCATCTGCCACAAACAGCATTTATCAAGGCTGGACAACCACCCACGAGTCCTAAACCAGTGGCCTGAACAACAGTTTGAGCAAAAGATGTTCCAGGCCGAGCAGGAGCTCTGCGTCCAGAAGCTGACGGCCCACAAACACTCGTGTCCTCGCGCGGTCGCTTGTTAGAACTGAAGCTTTAGCAGCTGTCTCTGTCTTTATTTGTCCGTAACTCAGCTCAACCCAAAAGCCCTCCACGTCCTCCTGTACTCCACCTCCTTCGGGGATTAGCTACGCTTGCCTCCTGCAATGCACCTGCAGTGCTCCGGAATACATCTGTCGGAGGAGGCCGAGAAGGAGGCTGACCTCCCGCAGGAGTGTCAGGAGGAGGCGGAGGAGTGTGTGTGTGTTTTGTCGACTCGGAAACATTGATGGAGGCTTGGGAGAAGACAAGATTCCATTAAGGACAAGCAGGAGGTTGGGTGTTGGTGGGAGTTGTAGGATGTGTATTGTGCCTGGTGGGTCTTGTTTTTTGCACCCTTGCACCATGCATGCCATGGTAGCCTCTGCCATTAATGTGTGTGAATGTTGACCTGTGGTGGCTTTGAGTGGTCAGAAGACCAAACAGGCCCAAAATAAATGCCTTTTACCATTATCATGGACTAGACCAGGGGTCCATGATGTCAAGACTTTGTCTCTCTATAGGCTCCAAAGACACCACCTGTAGGTGCACTACCTATGTGTACCTCTCCCACATGTAAGCCTCTCCTTACCTAAGATCTGTGCTTCATGGGGCCCACAATAGTGTCCATTGGCAGCCCATTTCCATCTTTGCATGAAGAACATCAGCCAACTAAGTAGTATAATATCTAGAGGTATAAATCAACCTAACTTGATGTTTTGTATTCTGTAATGTTTTTATCTGTGCACTATATTTTCAGCCGGCAATTCCAACCCACCAATCTTACTATCTGTTCAAAATATATTTGAATAACCACATAACACACCAGTCTCATCAGACTGGTTGGTGCAGGTATGACGATGATTGCCCTTTGCACACACAGCAATGTCATATCGCTTGCCTCTTGTATTATTTAATTGCTGAACGTACATTAACTGTATTAATTGGTAATGTCAAAGTTTCAACTTCTCCTTCCATTGTCATTTGGAAGTGACTTGCTAAAGTTTGCATCGTGCTACAACTGCACACTGCAATCCAGACCAACTGCTGAAAAGGTTCTATCCGTTGAGCACTTTTCTTTTCGAAGCACGTTGAGGCTTCAGTCTTTTTAGGGGCCCTTTGCCTTTAAGGTCTGGAGGCGTTCACCCTCCAGGTGAACTGCTTCTAATGACGATATTTTGCTTTGTCTCGGTTTCCTTCTTGGCTTGGCGCAAATTGGTCCTTTAATAGCCCCCTTCAGAGAACTAACACCACCCCTCAGAGGGAAAGGGAGCCAGACACCTCCAATCATGCACCTGTCATCATCACGCCACCTGTGCAAAATATAGTCCCCAAGATTGGGTTACCACAGCAGGAGGCCAGACAGAGCATGTCCATCACTGACAGTTTCTATGAAAGAACCTGTCATTTATTTTCCATTAGGGGGTTGTGTCCTCATCATGGAGCACATTGTTAGGACCAGAAAGAGGATGTGCTGTGCCAACGTCTTTTTAATTCAGTGCTTTGACCTCAGGAACCTCAAGGAATCGGTCGTGCCAGTTTATTGCAGGATGGTGTTCAATCTAAAAAGATTAGCACCTTGTTCAGCTCTTATTGATGCAACAAACTACAACAGGTGAAAGCAACACAGCACTACCCAGTAAGCTGGTTTCAATTGGCTAAAAGGAAAATACATTGTGATAAGCAAAGCCTTCTGAATACTAAAGGACACACGCTCACAGCAGCAGGCATTTCTTTGATTAGTTTTTACCCACGTTCTCAACAGCAATCATCTCAAACCTTCAGCTCCAGTCGCCGTACCTTTAGTACAATGTTAGTACAACACCATGCCATCTTTCTCCTGTCAATTTATGTCGAAAAATATCTCTATCTATATTCGCAATAAATTGTTATTGAGTCTCCTCTTTATGCTCATTTTAATGAAGAGCAGTAAATGTGCTGAGAATGTAAAAGTGGGAGTGTGAAAAATAACGTGCGGTCCTATTACGCGTTGGTTGTTCGTCCATTAAAAGGCCGAGCCTTGTTTTATTGGACGTACAGACGCAGCACCGACCCGGCTCCGTTAACGCAAAGCGTGATCGTCCCGTTTTATGGGAAGTGCATACCTGTTCATTCACAATGCTGTGTCAGCAGCTATAAAGCCAGACCCTGAAACCTTTAATGTGGCTGTCGGTCCACAATGACACATTCACTTACCTAACTTAGCCTTCCAAAC